ATAAATAATCATCCCAATTGCCCCCGAAGTCTAGAATACAAGCTCGGAGCACATCTTTCAGGGTATGAATCATCCTCTTTAATTGTCTATCGGTTTGATGGTGGAATGTGGTATTAAGGGATAGTTTCGTTCCTATGGCTTGTTGAAAACTAGACCAAAATCAAGAAGTAAACTTCGGGTCTCTATCGGATACCACTGTCACCAGGACTCTATGTAACCTGACTATCTCCCAGATATAGATTCTTGTTATCTTGTCCAAGGGGTCAGTCATCTTGATAGCCAAGAAGTGAGAGGACTTGGTGAGCCGGTCGACAATTACCCAAATAACATTATGTTCTGAGTGTGCCTTAGATAACTCTGTCACGAAATTCATTGTGATATGTTCTCACTTCCACTCCAAGATTGGTAATAGCTGAAGTAACCCACCTGAACATTGATGTTCTGCCTTAACCTGTTGACATACTAGACACTTAGAGATAAAGTTGGCTATCTCTCTTTTCATTTCGCTTTACCAAAATCGAGATAACATACTTTGATACATTTTATTACTTTCGAGGTGTATGACAAAATTTGAGTTATGAGCTTCTGTCATGATGTCCTTTTTCAGTTCACTATAATTTGGAACACACACCCTGTCCTGAAACCTGAGCAACTCATCAACATAGATTCAAAATTCTGGATTTATTCCTTGTTTTGCATCCTTCTTGAGAGCTACTATGGTGGAATCAGTTAATTGGACTTTCTTTATTGTCTGGATCAATTTGAGTTAGACAGTTAAGTGGGCCAAACATGTAACCTAGTTCAAGTCTTGAAGTCGTCTATGTTGTGCAGCCCATATTATCCTACATTCAGAAACCATTAAGTGAAATAACATACCTGTATTTTTTCTGCTGAGTGCGTCGACTACCACATTGTCCTTACCTGGGTGATATAAAATATTGCAATCGTAGTCCTTGAGGAGCTCTATCCAACACCTTTGACGCATGTTGAGATCCTTCTGAGTAAATATATGCTTCAAACTCTTATGATCTGTGTAAATCTCAAAAATCTCCCCATATAAGCAGTAGTGTCAGGTCTTTAAGGCATGGATAATAACGACCAATTCCAAGTTGTGGGTGGGGTAATTCTTTTCATGACTCTTCAACTACCTGGATATATAGATTATGACCTTCCTATCCTGCATCAGAATACAACTCAATCTCAAGTATGAAGCATCACTATACACTGTGTATCCACCTGTCTCACTCGGTAGAGGCAACACGGGTGTAGTAATTAACCACTTCATGAGTTCTGTAAAGCTCCTTTCGCAATTCTCATTCCATTTAAACATGACGTTCTTTTTTGTTAGTCGGATTAATGGAGTGACCAGACTAGAAAACTCTTCTACAAACCTGTGGTAATATCTTGTCATTCACAGGAAGTTATGGATCTCCTTAACCGAAGTTAATTTTTTTCAATCAAGTACTGCCTCAACCTTATCAAGATTTGCTGACACTTAATCCTTTGATATTATGTACCCTAGAAGGGCAGTCTGCTCAAGCCAAAACCCACATTTGCTCAATTTTGCATACAGCTCATTTTTCCTAAGAACTTATAGAACCTAAGTCAGGTGATGGATGTGTTCCTCTATGTTCTTTGAATAGACCAGGATATCATCAATGAATATGATGACGAATTGGCTCAAGAATTGCCTAAAAACTCTATTCATCAAGCCTATAAAAATAGGTGGCGCATTGGTTAGCCCAAATGGCATGACCAGAAACTCATAGTGTCTGTACTGAGTTTTGAAAACTGTCTTAGGAATGTCCTTTGCTATGATCTTTACCTGATTGTAACCCGAATGTAACTCTATTTTGGAGAAAACTTGGGCACCCTACAACTTGTCAAAAAGGTCATCAACTCTGGGGAGGGGGTACTTGTTCTTGATTGTGACTCTGTTCAATCTCCTATAGTCAATACATAATCTTAACATCCCATCCCCTTTTCTTGTAAATGTGACTCTAGCACCCCAAGGAGACAC